GTGCTGGCAGGCTTGCACCTGGCACGGGCACCATAGCCAGCCCGTGCCCCTTTAAGGGGTCTGGGGCCAGGAGGAGGGCAATAGAGTTTCCCTGGTGTTGGCCAGAGTGGCCACCAGGGAAACCTGGGGAGGGCTAGCCTCCCACTAGTTCGAATTAAGGGGCTACACACCCCTTAATTCGAACTAGCTAGTTCGAACTAGGCTTAATCCTCGTAAAATGAGGATTACCTAGTTCGAACTAAGCGCTCCGCTAGTTCGGATTAAGTTCGAACTAGCGAAGCGCTAGTGTAGCGCCTATGAAAGTTAGTTCGAACTAACGTCCATTAGTTCGAACTAACTTTGTAGTGTAGACATACCCTTAGACTTCAAAGTGCCACTGGATGCCTCATTGGTTTTGTATCCTTAAAAGAGTATTTCTGCAATGGGGTGGACTACAGAAACAGTACTGAAGAGGTTCTAAACTTCTATTCAGATTCCTTGAAACAGGTGATTTTCCAATCAAGAGATGGATATCTATGAAATAGGAAAACTAGATACTTCCCTCTTCTACTTAAAACTTCAGGAGCTCAATAGCCTGAATGCCAATGTTTTCCACCTGATTTTGTATCTTACACATACATTTATTGGCACATGTATTTTGCTTGCAATTAAATCATTTGCCACACATCTTTGTAGGAGGATTCTGGCTGGGACCCATCTTGACAATGGTTATGGCAGGGAAATTAAGAACTAGGGATGTAAATGAGTATTCAACTGGAGTATCGAATACTTGTTCCCCCTACCCCTGTCTCTCAGAGGCAGCAAAGAGGGGAGGGAGAGAAACAGGAGCTGGTGCTGGGAGGAGCTATCTTAAAGGCCGGTTCCCACTGCACCATCTCCGCACTGCTGCCTGCTCTCCTCCTCCCCCTTCCATCTTCCTCGCTGGCTCTATCAGCAGTCCCAGCTAGCGCTGGTCCGGGATGGTGGCTTTTATTACATTTAAATGCAGAGCTACAGCACAGGTGGCTCTCAAACTAAGCACGTAACAGAAGAACTGCTGTACTGGGTCAGACCAAAGGTCCATCTAGCCCAGTAGCCTGTATGCCAACAGGACCAGCACCAGGTGCCCCAGAGAGGGTGGACCAAAGACAATGATCAAGTGATTTGTCTCCTTCTCCAGCCTCTGACAAACAGAAGCCAGGGACACCATTTCCAGCCCCTGGCTAATAGCCTTTTATGGACCTAACCTCCATGAAATATCTAACTTCTCTTTAAACTCTGTTATAGTCCTAGCCTTCACAGCCTCCTCTGGCAAGGAGTTCTACAGGTTGACTACACGCTGTGTAAAGAAGAACTTTCTTTTATTAGTTTTAAACCTGCTAGCCATTAACTTCATTTGGTGACCTCTAGTTCTTCTATTATGGGAACTAATAAATAACTTTTCTTTATCGGCCCTCTCCACACCACTCATGCTTTTATATACCTCTATCATATCCCCCCTCAGTCTCCTCTTTTCTAAACTGAAGAGTCCCAGTCTCTTTAACCTCTCCTCATATGGGACCCATTCCAAACCCCTAATCATTTTAGTTGCCTTTTTCTGAACCCTTTCCAAAGCCAAAATATCTTTTTTGAGGTGAGAAAACCACATCTGTACACAGTATTCAAGATGTGGGCGTACCATAGTTTTATTCAGGGGCAGTAAGATATTCTGGGTCTTATTTTCTATCTCTTTCTTAATAATTCCTAGCATCCTATTTGCCTTTTTGACCGCCGCTGCACACTGCGTGGAAGTTTTCAGAGAACTATCCACGATAACTCCAAGATCTCTTTCCTGATTTGTCATAGCCAAATTAGCCCCCATCATACTGTACGTATAGTTGGGGTTATTTTTCCCCGATGTGCATTACTTTACACCTATCCACATTAAATTTCATTTGCCATTTTGTTGCCCAGTCGCTCAGTTTGGTGAGATCTTTTTGGAGTCCCTCACAGTCTGCTTCTGTCTTTACTATCCTAAACAGTTTGGTATCATCCACAAACTTTACCACCTCACTATTTACCCCTTTCTCAGTCCCAGCTCAAGTGATTACCTGGAACT